AATATTAACAATTTAAAAAAAATAAAATCCAAACGCTAAATAATCTATAATATAATATTGAGATAATAACAAAATCAGAAAAAATTTCAATAAATTTCAGTTGTTGTTGCTGTTGAACTTATCGCGATACTCGATTTCCCGGTTTTCGCTTTCAAACTTTTCGCTTTAACGTTCTTTCGCTTTAAAACTTTTCGCTCTTACGTTCTTTCGCTTTTAAACTTTTCGCTCTTACCTCCCATTACCAGTTTTTTGCCACCCATCATGGCGGATATAAAATTTTGCGGACGTTTGGCGCTCAGATGAATATCATGAATAACAACTTGAGAGTAAAAATAAAATAGTGAGAGTAAAAATCTCATATGCTTTTTTTTACTCCGCGGTAAAAACTTCATACGATATTTTTACTGGAGAGTAAAAAAAACACGGGAGTAAAAATCTCATACTACACCGGGGCTAAAAGAAGACAATATTTGCTTTATCAAATAGTGCATTTTAGGTTGCTCATAATTATACATTGAAAATCTTGTAGAGTACACGTGATTAATTTTATTGAAAAGTGTGTTAATTGGAGTTATTTTATTATAAAGTTTGTACATAAATAGAAGAATTTGATAAAGGTTTAACTTAAAAACATTGAGTATGTGATGATTTTTAAATAGTTTTTAAAATGTGTGAATTGGACTTTATAAGATCAATAAAAAATCCGAGGGTGAACTGACTTTTGTTAAATGCCAAAAATGATAGAATGTTTTGACATGTGCCGAGGACAATAAATATTTTTTAAGATTTTTTTTGTACATAGAAGTTCAATGGATGTCAAATGGGTTTAAATTGTTTTGAAGCATTATATGATAATTTTTTGAAAGTAGCAGTCAAACCAATCTCCGCCAACAATTAACAATTGTCTATAATCATGTGTTCTATTTTGCAGATATTTTCTAGAGATTGAATGATATTACAGGGTTTATGCGAAATATAAAACATTTTTTAAGAAAATATAAAACATTTTTTAAGAAAATATAAAACATTTTTTAAGAAAATATAAAACATTTTTTAAGAAAATATAAAACATTTTTAAAGAAAATATAAAACATTTTTTAAGAAAATATAAAACATTTTTTAAGAAAATATAAAACATTGTAGTTGAATCAATAGTGCAATTATGATACATAAAGTTATTCATAAATTTCTAAAGAATAAAGAGTATCTTTTATATAATTATAACTCATTATACTTAAAGATATAATATAAAAAGCAAAGTATCCACTTTAGTAAAATTCTTGTCTTGCTATGCCTTTTAAAACCCATCTTCTCATATTATCAAACCAACCACAAAAATTAACGCCAATTGTCGGTATAAGCGAATTTAAAGTAGCCTTAACTTCATTGCTAGTTTTTGGAAACGGCCTTATAGAAGTATAATTAGCTTTAAGACAACTAAAGTATTCTTCAATCGGGTTCAATTGAGGTGAATAAGGTGGCAAAAAGTAAACTGAAACACTGGATTGGCTGAGCAAATTGATTACATCTCTTCTACGGTGAAATGCACAATTATCCAATACTAGTACAGAATGGGGATACGTTTGGAAATACGGTCTTAAATTGTTGGTTATAAAATCGCAAAAAAGATTGCCATTATAGGCACCATCCACTATCTTAAAGCTTAAAATACCATTAACTGTTATAGCGGCCATGAGACTTACATTCTTTCCACGATTTGCTGGCACTGTAACAAAACATTTTGTATTCTTTATAGAATAACCATACTGTTTAGAAGTATGTAAATTAAAGCCTGTTTCATCTAGAAACACTAAGTTATTGTCAGGAATCGAATTAATAGTCCTGCAAAAACTTTGTCTTAAATCAATGTTTTGCGGCGAGTTCCTTTCTTTTGGTACTAATGTAAGTCGTTTTCTAGTGAACTCCATCGACTTCAAATATTTAGATATTGTTGGTATAGATGCATTAATATTCCTTTCAACGAGAATGTTTCTCAATGATGCTAACGTATGAGATGGGTCATGCTCAATTAACATTCGAATTTCGTCATAAGAGCTGCGCCTTCCTTTTTTTACTGATGCGATTTCATCATCACTAAGTCCTTTACAGATTTTATCAGAAATAGAACGTGTTGCAGAAACTGATATTTCAACTTCTTCCGCAATTTCTTTTAACTTCATTTCTTTAAGAATTGACTTTCTTATTGTTTTTACAATATCCTTTGTAATAAGTGTTCTTTTTTTTCTTTGTCTCTTGTTTTCCATTTATTTTAAAACAACAAAATAAAGCTTGAATAATATATTTTTACAGATCTCTTTTTTTGTTGTGAATAAACCACATAAATTTCATAGTATAGAGTAATTACGTAACTGAATATTTTATGTTAAAATATTAAACATTTAATTACCTAATTAAATGTTTTATCTTAGCATAAAATTTGTTTTATATTTTTTGTAAAAATGTTTTATATTTTCTTAAAAAATGTTTTGTATTTTCTTAAAAAATGTTTTATATTTTCTTTAAAAATGTTTTATATTTTCTTAAAAAATGTTTTATATTTTCTTAAAAAATGTTTTATATTTCGCATAAACCCTGTAATTTACAACTCCGAGGCACAATGAAAACTGCCAGTGTTTATAATACTGGTAATAAATTACCAGTATATGTATTATAAATTATTAGTATTATTTCATTATTTTTTGACATGGTTGAACTTTTCTGTCACCGTTTATATATATATATATATATATATATATATATATATATATATATATATATATATATATATATATATATATTATATATATATATATATATATATATATATATATATATATATAATATATATATATATATATATATATATATATATATATATATATATATATATATATATATATATATATATATATATATATATATATATATATATATATATATATATATATATATATATATATATATATATATATATATATATATCCCAGCCGGCATTATTACGTTGTTTCAACGTTGAAATTCGGTTGAAGCGTTGTTTCAACGTTGTTCAACTATTTCACAACGTTAAATCAACGTTACCGTTTAAACGTTGGTTATTTAACGTTATTTCAACGTTAAATCAACGTTACAGTTTAAACGTTGATTATTTAACGTTATTTCAACGTCATTGTTTCAATCATTGTTGACAAAAAATACGAAATAAAATTTATGCGCGCGCAGAAATGGAATTAAAAACGTAAACATTATTTCAACGGTTAAAGTTATGGAGATTTATAATGGAAAAAAAATGTAATTACTGAACTTATACCATATAGAATTTTCAAGAGATCGAAAACATGTTCAGACGATTTTCCTGGAAGAACATTATCGTTTAAAAATCGATATTTTTTGTTTAACTTGGGCTACAATGCTCAAAGACTGATATTATTAAATGTAAATATAATACAACTTTTTCAAAAAATGATCCATTAAATTATGTTGAATTTAATGCTAAGCGTTGTTTTTTAATAGAGCATCAAGAATTAAAAAAGGAAATTGATAACTTTAAAAAAGAACTTCAGCACGAAATAAAAAAATAAAGATTTATATGAAAAAATAACTTCAACCACATCAGTTATTACTATGAAAACAGACAAATTTGTATATAAACATAATCCAAACAAATCGTGTTATTGCAATTTACTTGTATACAAACATTTATTTTAAAAATAATAGATCTTGCGACTTTTATACTGGCCTTACATCTGTCAATGTGTTTCATCAGTTAGTGCAGTATCACGATTAATCAAAAGAGATAAAGTGATATTAAAAAAAAACATTTACTTCTGTTTTTTGAAATTAAAAAAAATCCTTAACTACTTGGACCAAAATAAATGTAATGCAGCAAAGATAAATTTTTAATGATGCTAGTACTTGGATTATTGACAGCTGATTTTGCTGACAGGTTTAATATATTTTTAGGATTAGTGAATGCAATATTTTCTTCATTGTTGAAAGCTTCTAGCTCACTTTTAAACCACATGGTTTTTGTTCCAAGTAAAGATGTTATAAGACAGGCAATGCAAAACAGATTTTAGAAATTAAATTATTCAGACTAACACTAAATTTCAGATATAACAGAATTTATTATGGAAACACCTTAAAATTTTGACTTACAGAAACTAACAGGGAATGAATACAAACATTACAACAATATAAAAACATTAGTACCCGTAGCTTCAAATTCATCAATAATTTCTTTAAAAAATTTCTAAAGCTTACAGAAGCTAAATTTTGGATAAAAAAGTTACATATCGCAACAACTATTTAGATTGTATTACAAAATCCTCTTGTATAATGTATGATTAAGGCTTTAATATTAATTTTTTAATACAAATGAAGTGATTTTAATTAAATCCATTTTTATCAGTCACTTTAAAAATATGATGAGTATTTGTATAAAGATAATTAAAATTTCAAACAATAATATTAGCTTAACTTGTTTTGTTTTTTTAGGTGAATCAATTGCAATTGATGGAATATCTTTAAAATGCTGAGGTAATCAAAATAATTTTTAATTATTCAGGAATTTTAAGGATTAAATTATTTAGCAAAAAAATTTGAAATGAGTTCAATTTAAATTAAAAAAAAAAATTAATATTAGTTCTTGCACAATTAATATCAGTTCTCTTATCTATTAAAATTTAGAATATTTTTTAATAATTTTGTGACTTCGATGAATATGAAGGGGAAAGGTGGAAATATGCTTTAAGAGCACTAATTTATACGGTGTAGTGAAAGGTATACCTTTATAAGATATGTAAAACTTTTTTATTCTCATTTTTTATATATTCAAAAATTTCTCCTTGTGTTTTTTTTTTTTTTTTCTAATTCTTTTTTATTAACAGCTTCTTCTATTAAATATGATGGAGCGACTGAAACTTGAATTGATGGCATTTTGTCTAACTTCTAAAAATGCGCTTCATTTCGAAAAGGTGGCGGAAAAGAAAAAAATTTAGATTGATTGATATAAATTTATGTTTATAAAAATCGATCTAAAATTTCTTTATTGAAATATTTACATATATTTCAATAAAGAAATATTTTCTTTTTGTCTGCTAATAATTTTTTTTTCAGTGTTAATTCAAACATTACAAACAGTGCTGGCCTTAGGGGGGGGGCGAGGTTGGGCGCCGCCCAAGGGCGCCAGGAAACTGGGGCGCCAAACGTTGTATGCAAACTTTAACAATATAATAAATAGAAAAAATAAGTCAAGGGATCGTCCATAAATTACGTAACGCAAAGTTTCACAAAAAACAAAACAAAAAAAGATCAAAAGTTTTCCCTTGCACAGTCTTAATTTAAATAAACAATGAAAATAGGAAATTAAGTCAAATGAAAATCGCTGCGTAAAAGAGCCTAATATCTCCTACTCCTGTTCTTAAAATATATTTTGCGTTGCGTAGTTTATGGACGATCCCCAACCTAAATTTTTTCGATTTCGATTTTCGAATGTTTTTTTTTTTTATGAAAATAATTTCTTTAAATAATTTATTTATTGTATTATTACACTGTTAAAAATTGTTTATGCAAAATTAATAATTTGATTAAAAGTGTTTCAATCATAGCATATATTTTGTTACTTAAAATCATTTTTTTAATTGTATCTTTCTCGGCGCCAATTATTTTGCGTTCCATTTATTTAAAGTTTAAATTTTAAACATTATTTTCGGTACGAGTTGCGAGCGCGTCGTTTATTAATTTGTAGAAAAAATTTAAAGTTGTATTTGTGATTCAAATTCAGTTTTTGTCAAGTTTTCAAATTTTGCGGTAATAAAAAGCAGGTAAGTATAAATAATGAAATTGTTTATGAATTATTAGCTTGCAAGTAATTTTTTATTTTAAAATTTTAGACAAATAGAAACTGTCAGCAGCAATCAATGGAGAGTACTCATAATAAAGAAAAAAATGTTTTTAAAACTCATAATAATAAGAAACCATCTGGTGCTCAATACAGAAAACGTAAAGCAGAAAAAGTTGATAATTTGAAGAAAAATTATAAAAAACTTGAAAATTTTTTTACATCGGAAAATAGTGATTGTAATAAAATAAAGGAAGGAGAAAATGTTGCTCATGTACTTAGTGATACATCAACCAGCGATGAAGAAGACGGAATAGTGTCAGTTGGAAATGTTCACTACGATGAAAAAGATATCGATAAAGAAAATGATGATGGCCAAGATGGTGATGTAAATGATCGCACCAAAGAAACAGCAAGCGATTACTCAGACTGTGGTTTGTGGCCAATTCATCGCAACATTCAATTTGTTGATTATGTAATTAATATAGGTGCAATACAAGTGAATTTGGACACATATCCACGTGATAATAGAAGACGACATTTTTCAAATGCTTATTACAACCGAAAACTTTCAAATGGTGAGGTTATTTCACGACGTTGGCTTGTGTACTCAGTTTATAAAGATACGGTATTTTGTTTTTGCTGCAAACTTTTTGATTTCAACATGAATTTAAAGTTAAACGGAAACGGATTCAATAAATGGAAAAATTTAACAGAAGCATTAAAAATTCACGAAAATAGTAAGTCACACAGAATTGCTTATCAACTATGGATTGAGACAGAAATACGAATGAAAGCTGGTGAAACTATTGATAAACAAGAACAAAAACTAATTGAAAAGGACAGTTTAAGGTGGCGAAGTGTTCTTGAACGATTGATGAACATTACTTTATACTTGGCAACAAATAATATGGCCTTCAGAGGTTCTTCTGATAAATTGTATGCAGTTAATAACGGCAAATTTTTAGGATTGGTACAATTACTCGCTAAATTTGATCCTATCATGTTAAACCACGTCACGCTAGCTCTTAAAGGAGATATTTCTGATCATTACTGTGGAAAAACCATTCAAAATGAAATGATAGATATAATGGCATCAAAAGTAACCAACATAATTATATCCAAAGCTCTAAAAAGTACAAATTATTCTATTATTGCTGACTGCACTCCTGACGTATCTCACAAAGAACAACTCTCGCTTACGATTAGAATTGTAAATATATCAGAATATCCTATAAAAATAAATGAACACTTTCTAGGGTTTTTCAATGTTAACGACACAACAGGTCTTGGTTTAACAGAAATCATAATTGGAGCTTTAAAAGATTTTTGACTGAATATAAGCTTTTGTCGAGGGCAAGGTTACGATAACGGTGCAAATATGAAAGGTAAAAAAATAGGTCTACAAAAGCGAATATTAGATTTGAATCCTTTGGCTTTTTACCTTCCATGTGGAAGTCATTCTCTCAATTTTGTTATTTGTGACGCAGCGCAGTATTCACTAAACTCCATTAACGTTTTTGGCATAATACAAAGATTATTCACATTATTTTCTGCATCAACTTCACGCTGGAATGTTTTACTTAGTCATACAACAAACTTCACTCTTAAACGATTATGCGAGACTCGTTGGGAAGCCAAAATTGAGAGCCTTAAAGCCATCCGATACCAAATAAGCAGCGTACATGATGCTTTAATTACTATATATGAAACTGAAACCAAAACTCCCGATATTGCACACGAAGCGCAAACATTAGCAGAACAATTGAAAGACTATAGTTTTTTAGTTTCTTTAATTGCATGGTACAATGTACTATTCCAAATAAACGTTGTTAGTAAAGCAATGCAAGCCAAAGACATGGATCTAGTACAGTGCGCTAAAATGTTGAAAAAATGCATCACATTTTTGGAAAATTACAGAACGTTTGGCTTTAAACAAGCAACCGTTGATGCCAAAGAGTTAGCTGAAGAGTTGAACATCGATGCAATATTTAAGCCGCTTAAAAGAGTGCGACGAGTGAAACGTCATTATGATGAAAATGCTTTTGACGAACCAATTCAAAATCCCGAGAAGAAACTTGAAGTGACATTTTTTAACCCTTTATTAGATACATGTCTGTCGTCAATAAATGAAAGATTTGAACAACTTAATGAATATGTAAATATATTGAGTTTTTTATTTAATTTGGATAATTTGCCCATCAAGAATGAACTTTTAAAATTGTGTAAACAATTACAAGAAAAATTAACTGTAAATACAAAATCAGAAATCGATGGTGCTTTGCTATGCGACGAACTAATAAGTGTGCAGTTTTTTATAAAAGATAAATCAAGCAATGTTGAAAATGAAATAAATACAAAAGAGATGACACCACTTTTTGTACTGAATCTTGTTAAAAAACATTGTCTACAAGAGTTATATTCAAATACATGGATTGTTCTGCGCATTCTTCTTACAATACCTGTTACTGTTGCTAGTAGAGAACGTAGTTTTTCTAAACTGAAGTTAATCAAAACATATTTAAGAAATACCATGTTGCAAGATCGACTTAATTCTCTATCTATGTTATCAATCGAGCAAGATATAGCTGAAAATTTCGATTTTTCTAGTTTGATAAGAGATTTCGCGGACAAAAAAGCTAGAAAAAATAGATTTTAAAATTTAATAACTCTTGTTTATATAGTTAGAGGATTTATTATATGTTTAATAAAAACATTTGTTATTTTTAAAGCAGGGTTGCGTTGTCTATTTATTTAGTCACTCATTTCTATAAACCCATATCATGAAAAGTCTAAGTTTACAATTTTAATAAAAAATTAATTAAATAAGAAACTTGATGCACAATATGGATCTCTTTGCATTAAACTATATATTCCCTTTAGCACTCTTGTTCATCATTTTAGAGCATTGGTCTCGTTGTTAATGGTAACAACCTACCCATATATACCTAGGGGCGCATTTACAAGTTTTGCCCAACCTGTCAAAAAAGCTAAGGCCGGCGCTGATTACAAATTAAAACTCAATAATGAAAAAAACCTAGAATTGAGTTGATGTTTTAAGTAAAATAAGAAAAGCCCAAAAAGTAACTGATGTAATATTTTTATTTTTTGATAAAAAAAAAAATTCTAATAATGTTTAAAATTGGTATTAATATTAATTATTATTAAATGAAGATGAGTAAAAAATAAGTAATGTTTATTAGATGAAGATAAGTAAAAAAATAAGTTACAAGTTATTTTTTGGTCTTGAAAATTGCTGGAATGATAATTTATTATTTATCAAAATATTTTATTTTTTAATTTTTGTTGTTTTTATATTTTAATTAAAAGTAGATATTATTGTGTCATATATTATAATATACCTTATATTATACTATTATATTTTATATTAATAATGAGTATTTTTGTTTTTTTGTATTTCTATTTTTTTTCAATATTCCATAATTATCTTATGTAGATGTTTATGTTTTAGCAACCTAGTATTCTTTCATTATTTGTCTTTGTTATTGAGCCTTAAGTTATTTGAACATAATATATTCAGAACTCTGCTGAATAATAGAGTAATAAATAAATTAATAAAAATGAGTTTAAAATATAATAAATTTATAAAATAAAGAAAATCTTATCTTTGCTTATAATGTTTACTAATATTATTGTTTAGCAAGTATCATGGTTATAAAATGTTCAAATTTAGCTAGTTTAATTAGGCCTGTTAGTACACTTATATTATGGTTTCTTCATTTTATATTAGTTCATGTAATTTTTTCAAAATCAAATATGCGGAAAGGAGCTGTTTGGAATGAAGATTTACAAGAAGAAGTAATTCCATCTGATTGGATTAGTGATAAAACTGTTTGTCGGCTTCCAGGTACCAAAGCATTGACTGCACTAAAATGCAGAGAAGAATTGGCTTAAGTTTATACAAATAAAAACTAAATTCTCTTCAGGTATTACATCTATATATTACAATTATTATTTTTTAAATAATGTGGTAAGAAGAGTTATTTTGTTGATACAAAATATATAACTATTTGTATAACTATTTCAATTCTAAAAGAAAGCAAACAGTATTTTGAAAATTTTAAATTCACAACTCCAAAAGAAAAATGTGATAATGAGAATGTTGACAAGTGGATGCAAGATTTGCACACAAGTGGAAACTTGGATGCAAATTTTCCACTTGTGCGGTTTGGATGGTTCTCCACAATATAATATATCTCCACAAGCATAATATTAGATTTACTTCATGTTTTTTTACAGATAAATCAATTACAGTTAATTGGTGGAGTTACCTCATTTATGATCAGGGTGTCTGCAGCTCCTCTAAAATCCTCTAAAGTCCTCTTTTTTTAAAACCACTTCTAAAATCCTCTATTATCCTCTAAAGAGGTAAAAATTTGATCAAAGCTCCTCATTAATTCTTCCTTTTTTAATTTTTGATGGATGTATAATGTTCAAAATACCCATTCTCGGTCTGCAAAACTGGTTAACGCCTTAAAGTGCATGGAATTGTAAAAAATTGCTTTAGAAAATGCATGCTATTTAACATAACAAATGACATTATTTGATCCCTGTCCAAGCCCCATAAGTGTATAAACATGGACGTTAAACCATTAATAAATAGCCACATAAAATTTCTTATAAAAATTTTATGTGGCCACCCCGAAAATTGTTTTTTAATGCTAGAAATGTTTTATATTTTGATTATTAATTTATTTTTAATATATTAAAAAGGTTGTTTTATTTAAATTAAATATTTGAAAAAGTTATTAATAACCAACTAACAGTTATATTATTTTTTAAAAATTCAGAGTATTTTCGAAAAGTTATATGGCCTCCATGGATATGAAGGGCAAAGGTGGAAAAATATGTTTTAAGAACACTAATCTATATGGCGTTGAAAAAGATATACCTTCATAAGTTGTAACACTTTTCCATTCATTATTTATTTTTTAAACCTTCCCTTTTTGTTTTTTTTTTATATATTTTTTTATTTACAGCTTCTTATATTGTACTCAATGGACCAAAAGAACCCTCGGTTAATGGAACATTGTTTGACTTTCTAAATTACGCTTTATTTCAAAAAGGTGGTGGAAAAGAGAAGAAGATTGTGTAGATTTTATTCAATTACATGTAAATATATGTAATATTTGAATATGTATTTTTGAATAAAACAAGTTTTATCTCTTTCTTTAATCATACCTAGCTATTTTAACTAAACTAAACTGAAAAAGTTCTAAATAGTCTATGTATAGACTATGAATAGATTTAATATCCATAATATACCTTGATAATGTACAGCAACACTAATGTACATGCATAGTAAGTTTTGATGGTGATCATATTTTGACGCACATATCACGTTTACATACATATATACATTTTGACATACATAGCACATTTTGATGGTGAAAAAGTGTTTTACAGTCGTTTAACGTTGATAAATCAACGTTATCATTTTAAACGTTGTATCAACGTAAATTCAACGTTGTTGTAACGTTTTTTCGCGTCGAATCAACGTTGATATAACGTTTGAATCTAACGTTGATTTAACGTTGATAAATCAACGTTGAAAAAAACTTTCATTCTAAACGTTAAATCAACGTAAATTCAACGTTATTGTAACGTTTTTTCGCGTCGAATCAACGTTGATATAACGTTTGAACCTAACGTTGATTTAACGTTGATAAATCAACGTTGAAAAAAACTTTCATTCTAAACGTTAAACCAACGTTAATTCAACGTTAGGTTTCAACGATATTTCAACGTTATTTCAACGTTATTTGCCGGCTGGGATATATATATATATATATATATATATATATATATATATATATATATATATATATATATATATATATATATATATATATATATATAATTTAGTAAAAACATTTATCTAATTTTTGTGCTCTTCAACAGCATGTTTCACCATCACGGGTTCAGGAAGCTTCCTGCTATTATTGCTCTGTTCTTTAAGAACATTGAGCACTCTATTTGTAGAATACACTAACATAATTTTATATATATATATATATATATATATATATATATATATATATATATATATATATATATACACTACCGACAAAAAGTTTGAGGCAGGGTAAAAATTTATGATTTCGAGATGTAAATACCCTTAAATTGTTTATTTTTTCGACTTCAATGAGTGTATTTATGTTTTAATTTATGATTCTAATATATCACTAGTAGATTAGAACTGTTTATAATATTTTAATCAACAAGGGATAGCTGATAAAGATTTGTGCCGCTGTAATAAAGAATAAAGGAGGATATTTTGACGAATCAAAAATTTAATTAAAATAACAATTATAATTAAGAATTTATAATAAAAAAATGTTTAATGTTTATTAGTTTTTGTATTCATTATCATTAAAGTACAAATCATATTAGAAAAAGTTTATTTATTTAGCAATTTTAAAAAACCTGCCTCAAACTTTTTGTCGGTAGTGTATATATATATAAATTTATTTCAATTATTTATAAAGTTAAACTATTTATAATTTCTTGTATATACTATTCAACTCTATTCAGTGCAGGGGCGGATCCAGATTACTCTTTTTCCGTCATACTCTTGTACTTATAATTATATATATTACTCTTGTACTTATAATTATATATATTATACATATTAATTTTTAATTTTATTCTTTAATTCTAAGTAAACTATTTTAACCAGTGTAACTATGAAATGACGTTGTATATTGGTTAGTAATCCGGTTTAAAATTTGCGTGGTAGAACCTAATTGAGTCACTTTTAAAAAGTACGTTGAATGTTTAAAAGCAAAAAAGAATTTATAGGAATTTCTAAATTCTAATATTTTTTTATTTAATTACTTATTATGGTTTCTAATTTTAAAAATAATACATTGCAATACATTTTTTCTTATCATTTTACTTTTAATGACGCATATTTTATTATTAATTTGATATAAGTAACCTATGCTTCAAATATATTCAAAGTAACATAATAAACTGGACTTTAGGGATTGCTTCTCTAAAATCCTTTTAAATAATTATCTCTACAATTATCTCAGTTAATCTTCCTTTTTTTTTATTAATTTTGAAAGAATAATTTACGTAATACAAACCTGTTAAATTAATGTAATAATTGTTTTAGTAGCAACCAGTCCTTTTTGTTTTGCAGGTAACAGCAATTAATTTGAGTATAGTGAATGTTTAAGTAAAGTTTTTGATAAAATGTTTTTGACATAAACGACACTTAATCTAAATAGTAAAAAAAAGTTATTTTCAAAATCAGTAGTTTTGTAATATTAGTTTAATATCAGTTCACAATAAAAAAAAAGCAAAAAGTTATAGATTGTTGCCATAGTTATTATTATTTTTTCGAGACGCAATGAAGAGAACTAATCCGTTTTGTTGCAAAGTAGTTTAGATTCATTCTTTACAGCATCGAAGAAAGAAAATTTTGCTGAAATACCTTCAACTAGTTTTACTGCTACTATTAATATTGCTATTCAACATGTTGAACATGAGAAATCAGAACTACAAAACAAAGACATAGACGGAGAAAAGCAGAAAAGGAATGATATCTCACTTGACATAGTTATGCCTGTTTCAGAAAATGAACAGATTTTAAGCCTCTACCTGACTCTGCATCCGCTAAAATTAGCCGAA